TCCTCTCTCGCTTTCATCAAAACCAATTTACAAGTACATTAATCACTCCTGATCCCTAAACTCTCATCACTTGTTTCCCTTAAAGTTGTTTCCCCTTTCCTAAATTCTTCCTCCTCTATAATCGCTCTTTTCCTAAAGTTGCTCTCAACTCTTAAACCTCCTACTTTCTCTCTTTCTCCCGCAAAAGAACCGTCTTTCCTTGACGGTTAGGGAGAGCTTCATGTCATTTTCTGTTGGAGTTGGTTTTATATCGTTTGAATTAATCTCGCTGCTGGAGTTGGTTAGGGAGAGCTTCATGTTCTTTGGATAAGGCAGGCTATGTCATTTTCTGTACAAATTTATAATGATTAATAAAATATTAAGTTAATCACCCCTCCACTAGCAATAAATTTTGAGGTTTTAAAAAAGTCAATCCCAGCACCAACCTTATTAAAAAGAGATAAAAAGCTAGCTGGTCAGGTGGATTTAATTAATTAGTTTTTCTCTGTCAAATAACCATGACAACTGGTTATAGTACTAATAGGGCCCAACAACCAGCGGTAATCACATTTCCTTGCTAGGTTATGTTTCGAGTTTTAATTGCATAAAAACATATACCATAAATTTTTGTTTCCCACTAAGCTTAAACTGCGTTTCGCATTCTTTATTTTAAGTTATTTTCTTTTTACAATTTAAAAATAAAAATTTAATTTGGATTTTCTACTTGATGCTGCGCGATCTAGTTGCTCCCTGCTGGAGGTGATCTGGCCTTCAGGTGGACGGCGAACAGTTGATCTGCAAGAGGATTAGAGAACCCGAGGTTGCTAGCCATGCGAGGTCGTTCTGATGCTTAAGTCAGTATATTGGTTGCGAGCTAAAAATAGCTTAAGAATGCAGAGAGCTAGAGAGCATATAAATCACACGTACCTTGAACCACCGGGGCTGGAGCCTTTATATAATGGAGTCCTCGTGGGTTTTACGGATCGGTTCCGGGATCATCGTCACGATAGGATCCGTTTCCGTGTAAGTTGGAAGATAATGCTACCAACCGATAAGGTTCATCAATTTTGCCCTAATCAGGCGGGAAGATAATGCTAGCTGTTACATGGCATGATCTCGTGAGGCCCGGGATCCGTTGAAGGGGTTTTCAGGATCACCACGTAGTGGCGTGTCGGTATCCCCGAACTGGGTTGAATGCCGAAGAGCCTTGGCATTGAGGTGTTCTTGTTACGATCTAGTATGAGTCGATCTTGTCTCGAGGTGAGCTTGTGCCGAGATCATTTTAGCTCGGGGTAGTTGGGTACCCAAGCTCGATTTGCTGCGGACTGGTTACGTTAAGCTGAGTTGTCATCTCTTGGTCAGGTCAGGTCCACGTGTCCCCTCTTTACTGGATCGAGCCAAATCACCCTTCATCACTACCCACAAATAATTTTATTCTTATCTACTCACATAACATGGTAACTATACCTACACATGAGGAATACCTCATCTTCTTACATGTTATTACAATGCAAAGATGTTCTCAATGCACGGAAGTAGTGTTTTATGAGTAAACGTGATAGAGTCCTTATAGATAGAAGATCCGGAACCTATTTATAGAGGCATTTTAGCTGAAAAAGGAAATAAGTCATTGAAATTAATAAAGAATGCCAAATACAACCTTAGGCATGTGACTTGTAAGGGCACATATAGAGCTTGGTATTTAAAGAGTAATTAATAAGGGCATGAATGCTTTTAACTCCATCAACCCACTAGGCTCAATTATTTATACCCATTTTTTTTTGGCACGTGGAATCATTGATTCAAATGTGGAAGGTTCATTGAACTGAAAGTATTAACAGAGTAATTTAATTGAATGCTGTAATCCCACTTGCACAGGGCCCCAACACAATTACAAAATGCCAGTTACGATGTGATGATCAATGCCATCCATATTTTATGTATACACTACGTAACGTAGTACAAAGAAGATGAGAGTTATGCACATTCACCGGTCACCGGTCAGGCGGTCATCACACACATTGAATGGCGAAATTAGACCTGGCAAAAAATTGACTCAATCCAACCTGAAAAAATAGAGTTAGGGTTTCATATTTAGCTATCCAAATGTAAAAACGATCCAACCCGATTCAATCTGAAAAAAATTGGGTTGGGTCATGGGTTAACCCATTAAATTGATTATTAAGTCTAATTGAGATTATTTATGCATTGTTAGAAGTTTCTGTTCTTTAATTTTTTCTATTTAGTTTGTACTTTTTATTGTTTATTCTTTAAATTGTTAAGTGTTCAAGTTTTTTATTTTATATTTGAAATTTTAAAGTTAATTCTTTTAATTTTGACATTTCTCTTGTAATTTTTCTTTATTTTTTTAAATTTCAATTATTTTTTGGAATAATCTGAATTGATCCATGGGTCAACCCTAACCCAAACATTTAGGGTTAGAGTCTAACATTTGACAATCCAACCCGAAATTCAACCTAACACGAAATCAACCCAAAGTACCTTGACCCAACCCACCCAACCCGATTGTCAGGTTTAGACGGAACCAGCAGGCCGTTATATATCTGCTGCCCTGCTTTAAACACAATTAGTGAAGCTTCTTCCTAAGAATGTTAATAGGAAGATGACCGTATTGATAATGAAGCTTCGTTGCTAGCTTAAATTACGAGCAAGGAATTAAGGCTGTATTTGGTTTGAAGGAAAAAGTTAAGAAAGGGAGGAAAAGGTAAAAAAAAAAACTTTACAAACTTTGTATAACGTTTTTGCCTTTCCCTATCTTTTCCTTCAAATCAAACATAGCCTAAAAAAACAATTAATATAATCAAAGAAGACAGACCATTATTAATTTTTCATATCAATTCTTTTTGGTTTATTAATTATTAAGCCCTGTGCGTTATTCTAACATTCCCCAGGAATAAATGTTGTAGCTAAAAGAAGAGATGTAAACCGCGCGAGTTTTTTGATGAATGAATTTGATCTCAGACTTACCCCATATGTATTTTCAGTATGACCCACCTAACACTAAACCCTAATTTCAAGCAGATCAAATCAAATGATTGAGACCTCTTGCACAAGCTAGCTACTTTTGTCAACGTTAATCTAGAAGGGAACCATTTAGTTCCGGAGAATGAAGGGTGTACTCCAAACCGGGCTTAACTTGATCTCAGTGACCCAAGACCAATAATGACATGATTTCGTTTAAAGTTTTATCTCTCTCTCTTTGAAATGTGTGGAACCAAAGTAAACTAAAACCAGAAATACCTGAAGAAGAAAAGGGTTCAACAGAAAATTGTATTTACTAGTAATTAGTTTAATCATTAGAACTCAAAATGTTCAAACAAAAACCCCTTTTATATCCAGTCTTAATTTATTCTAGCTGATTTTGATAGGATCATTTTATAAAAGATGCTCAATAGTCAACAATGTTGTCAAGATTCACATATGAATAGTTGGAGAAAATTCCAGGTTAGAGAGGTGCAAGAAACTAATATATAAGAGTGGCCCATAACCCAAAAGTTTAAGCTTTTGAATTATATATGGTGTCTGGTTTTGACGACTCCACTCAAATGCATGCATAACAAATAATAAAATTTCACATGGGAATTTTGGAGCCCAAATGGCCCCAAAAGTTTCCATTTCTCATCCTTTTGCTCACGATCCAAATTTACGGCCAAAAACATCAACAATTCCTCATTTTCTAAAATGGTCACTAACTTTCCTCTTTTTGAGTCCTGAGCTTCAGCTAAAATTCTTCCTCTCTCGCTTTCATCAAAACCAATTTACAAGTACCCTAATCACTCCTTATCCCTAAACACTCATCACTTGTTTCCCCTTTCCTAAATGCTTCCTCCTCTATAATCGCTCCTTTCCAACTTGCTCTCAACTCTTAAACCTCCTACTTTCTCTCTTTCTCCCGCAAAAAAAACCGTCTTTCCTTGAAAATCATCCTCCATCTCTGACTTTTGTAGAAGTTAAACCTACAATCTTTTGTTGGATATGATGTTTTAGTCTTTTTCTTTACCCATACTCGTGCAATTAATGCATGGGCTGGCTCTCTTAAATAGTATATATGCCAAATCAATGCCCTCAAATAGGAGGGTTTATCATGCAAACAAGTAGTAGGGGTGACAATGGACATGGTTAGGGGTTGGACCCTAATGAACCAAATTCAATTTGAACAGGTTATTTGACCACTTCAGAGTTCAGACTTGCTTAATAGTCCAAAGTATTTATTGGATTGGAATGGACCCGATTCAGCCATAATGAATTTATATTGGACTGATTCATTAAAATAATGAATTTATATTAAACTGAACGAATACATGTGGTCTATTGATAGAATATGAAAGTATGGGTGTCAATGGACCAGGTTTAATTGAAATGGACATAATCTAAATTAAAACCAATTCAAACAGACATTGATTGGGCCAGTAATTAAATTAAAGGATTCATCGGATTGGATTGGACCTGGTCCGGCGCGTTTGTAATGAATTCATATTAGACCAAAATCCGGTTCATTTACAGCCAACCCTACCTTACAAACAAGTGGCCTAATTGTAATTAAAACTTGTCTATAATAGATGTGGGTGGGTCATGGGTGCCCTTATTTTCTAGATAAAACGTGTTGTTTTAATTACAAATTAATCAAACATAATTTATTCTTCTGAATCCAATTCAAAGCCCAACCTAAATTAATGCCTCAAGTCAAGACTTGCCACACTGGCGTGGGTAGTAATAAGTCCCGGTGTCTGTCCCAGACACAATTTAAACGCATGGTTGCTAGCTGCTAGCTGGTTATATCCATTAAACCATTAACAATGGCTCTCTCATTGTCAGCAGTAACAACTAACAACTAATTACAAAGCCTCTAGTAGATTGTAGTACACCACTCTATGAGCAAGATGGCGGTCACCGTCACATCAGACTTTCTCGATGCTTTTAAATAGCCTCCAAACTGATGAAAGGTTAAGTGACTAGCTCTCTACCAATTAAAGCATCTTCCAATCATCTCCTTTACGATCATGGAATTCTATAGCGGAACCCATGAGAGTTTCTTTGATGAAGAACAGAATACTCCAAAATCACCTACTCCCCTTTCCTTCAAAACCCATCATCAGCTAAATATCTCGGAAATCGACAAGGAATGCAGTTCGCCAAGGCCCTTGTCGCCCATAGACCAGCTCCCACCCCAAAGCCCTGAGTCACCATGGACACTCTCTCCTCTCCATCCTTCCCCTTCTCTTCTCTTCCAGTGTCTCACTTCACTCTACCGTCACGACGGCAACATCTTCTCCATCGCAGTCCTGAGGGATCTTGTGTTCACAGGATCTGAGAGTAGCCGTATTCGCGTCTGGAGAAAACCAGAATGCATGGAGCGCGGCTATATCAAGGCAAAGTCGGGTGAAGTTCGTGCCCTTTCAGCTTATGCTAACATGCTTTTCTCGACTCATAGAGACCACAGAATTCGTGTGTGGAGCATTTCGTTATCTGATAAATTTCGTTCTAAGAAGATCACAAGCTTACCTCGACGGAACTCGTTTCTTTTGTTCCCAAGGTCCAAGTTCCAACAACACCACAAGGATTGCATCTCTTGTCTTGCTTATTACCACGCTGAAGGGATTCTGTACACAGGTTCGTGGGACAAAACCGTTAAAGCTTGGAGGATGTCAGATAGAAAGTGCGTTGATTCATTTATGGCACACGAAGACCACATCAATGGAATTGTGGTTAACCAGGAAGACGGATGCGTTTTCACCTGCTCATCCGATGGGTCTGTCAAGATTTGGAGGAGGGTGTTCGGGGAGAGCTCACACACGCTCACCATGACTCTCAAGTTCCAACTGTCGCCCGTGAACGCCTTGGCATTGAGCAGGTCTCCCGACGCTAGTTTCCTCTACTCGGGCTCCTCCGATGGATTCATCAACGTCTGGGAGAAGGAGAAGGTGTCTGGTAGATTTAACCATGGAGGATTTCTTCATGGTCATCGCTTCTCTGTTCTCTGTTTAGAAGCCATAGACGGATTGGTGCTCAGTGGTTCGGAGGACACGACAGTGAGAGTGTGGAAGAGAGAGGAAGGGACTAGCTTTCATGCATGTCTGGCTGTGTTGGATGGTCATCGTGGGCCGGTCAAATGCCTGGCTGCGTGCTTGGAGATGGATACGCTGGCAATGGGCTTCCTGGTCCATACTGCAAGCTTGGATGGAACATTTAAGATATGGAGGGTAAAGGTTTTTTCAAGCGAAACGAAGCTGACGATGAAATTGGATGACGCAGACACGAATGATCAGAAGAAGAAAAGAGCGGAGTATGAGATATGTCCGGTGTTGTCGCCAGCATGGGTTGAGAAGAAACGTCAAGGGTAACGATGCATGTTTTACAGTACTCGCTCTAGCTTGCTAGCAAAAAACAAGAAGAAGAAGAAGAAGAAAATTTGTATATCAAGCATCAAATTAAGGACGAGGGAACAAGGGATCTCTATTGCTACCATGTGAGTATATATATAGCTTTTAATTTCACTAATTTGTTTATCTATGCAGTAATTAACTACTTACAAGTTAATTAGCTAGGAACCATATCAATATTAATTTATTGACTGTTTTTGTTGAATAGTACTTTATGTACTTTTAAAATTTCAGAGTATTAGTGTATTACTAATGAAGATGCACTAAAACATCATTGGCTAGCTAGTGGTTTAACTTTATTAAGTTTGGGATAGCCCAACATTTAATCTGTGTTTGGTTGGTTTGAAGGAAAAAGTAGGGAAAGGTAGGAAAACTTATATATGATTTGTAAAGGTTTCCCTACCTTTTCCTTCCTTTTCCTTCAAATCAAATATAGTCTTAGTGCTCCACTAATTCTACCAACTTCCCTCCATATATGATATATCCCTCCTGCTATATCCTAAAGCTATGTTTGGTTTGAAGGAAAAGATAGGGAAAGGAAGGGAAAGGTGGGGAAACCTATATGAGGTTTATATAGGTTTCCCCGCTTTTCCCTTCCTTTCCCTACTTTTTCACTTTTTTCTTCAAACCAAACACAGCCTAATTGATTAACCGGTTTACAAACTATATATATACATATAAAGGAGATCAAGTGCAACCTGGGACTGGGACTGCTGAATCCCAATTGGGCTAGCTGGGAGACTCTATTCTCTTTCCTCACTTAGTTTCCTTTTGCGTGTGCTTGAAAAACAAGCTAAATGTCCTTTTATAACAACATCCTATTGTATGCAACCGAATGTTGAAGTGTAACTGTTTGGTTGATTGAGGGATTTTACCATTTGATCATCCAGTCTACACAAGTCATTTGACTTGTCATTAACACAGTAAGAGTTGGAAATAAGATCTAATAAAGATTCTAAATAATGGATTTTCTGTGCATAAAAATGAATGAAAAACACTTTCATAAAAATGAACAACTAAAAGAATATTGTAGAAAATAGATAATTATAATAATACAATTAAAGAGGAAAACTTCATTGTGGGTGCAAAAGTGTAACACAGAGATAACTTTATTTCCCATCAATATGTGGCTTGTCACAAGGCCACTGGATTGTCCAACATGTTGAGGAAAAACAAATGAGCGCCTGTGGCCACTCTACCAGTAGTATCGTCCCTATTCTTTGAATCTCCATGATCAAGCTAGTCGAGTGAAGATTCAAGCTGTCAACAATGAATCTCCCTAGAGAAACTGGATTAGGTTGGAAGGGAATGGGTTTTCTCAGGTAACAGAGAGAAAATAACAGTAATTTGAGTATATCACGACTTTGAATCTCCATGATCAAGCCGAGTGAAGCTTTAAACTGTCAACAATCAATCTCCATAGAGAAATTGGATTAGGTTGGAAGGAAATGGGTTTTCTCAGGTTACAGAGAACATAATAGTAATTTGAGTATATCACGACGTACTTTGAGTCGTGCTTGATTCTAAGTAGATGTTGAGGTTGTTTTTTGGGATGGGAAAACTCAAAAAACTTAGAAAATTAGAAAGGGGATTTTAGGGTGAGTTTTGAGAGAGGGAAGGATGGCCACGTGGCATTCTAATTTTGCAGGAAGAATTCCAATTGCATCCAAAGCTCGACTTCATTTATGTACAATTTGTTATGCAAGGGTAAGCCAGAAGAAGTATAAATGCAAATATGTACAACATAAATACATACAAAAATAATACAAAGTATAAGGTTTTGCATTCTACATATTTGCTTTCTTACTCCTTCAAAAACCCACTAGTATGTAATATGTATCATTGGAATTTCAAAACATTTCTTCCAACGAGATGGACACCTGTCTATCCAGTTTCAAGAACATGATAGTGGGCAAGTACATTATAAATAAGAGACCCACTCTAAGGAGAAATTATTTTACCACTCTAATTGGAGTGGTTTATCCACATAGGAGGTTAAAATCACCACGTTCACTCCAAGGCCCCGTTCACTTTTCGGTAAGTTACTTATCCAAGTAAATGCATTTACCAGGATAAGTTTTTCCTACAAAACACTTACCTGGGTAAGTGCATTTACCCAAGTTCTTTTATTTCTTATGTAAATAAGGCAATGACCATTTTAGCCATAAAAATCCATTATTAAAAAGGGCATTTTTGTCCCATTCAAGTGTTGAGAAAGTTATTTACCCACCTAAGAGATGTGTATTACTTATCCCTAAGTGATACCCAGGAAAATAAATTTTCCCTGGTTCCCACATAAATCTGAAAAAAGAGCATGGGAATCTTGGTCAATGGAAACCAAAATCCCATTGACCAACTTTTCTCCCTCTCAAAATCCGAAAAAAGAATGTCCGCTAAGAGATAGAGACGTGTAGGCAAAATACCACCAAAACTAGAACCCAAATTGAAGTTTTTACAACATAGTAACTTGGTTTCCAACATTAGATTGAGTTTGTCTATAAATATTTATAGCATTGAATGGAAATAATCTTGGACTCATGGGGAGATGAAGTGAGTAAGCAAGTTTGTGGGTCAGATGTTGACTTATTGATGAGATGAGCAAAAAACAACGTTGATCAATGTATTCCTGGTAGCATTGTTTGGGGCATTAATAATTAGGTCCATGAACCAACAGAAGGACTTTCAAACCCTCGAAGCCAAGGACTCCCTCCTCGAGATCAACAAAGCCATGAAGAAGGCCATGTGGATGTGAGTCTTCCTCTCTCCACACTCAGAGCCATCTATAGCGAAGCACCCACACAACCAAGTGTAGTAGGAGTCAATGTAAAGAAAGATTCAAAACCCAAGTCGAAATTTGTAAAGGAAGATTTGTAGGCCTGTTTGTTTGCTTTGATATCTAAAAATGTAATAATTACATTAAGAGGTATATTGGTATAGATTAACTTTTCTTTCCTCTAAACTCTGAGTGCAAAGAATGTTATTATGAACTCTGAATTCTGAAAATTATTAAATATCCATTTTGACCCCATATATGAGAGTTTTTGTTTGTCTTTTTGGGGGTATCATTGAAAAACAAAAAATTGTATAATTGCACTTTAAGAAATGAGAGATAAGAGGAAATTGATGTTGCTCGAGGTCTTCGGGATGAGGTTAACCATCGAGGTCTTCAGGATAAGACCTAATCCCCAGCAGAGTCATCATCCGTACGAAGTTCTCCTGTCTGGGTCGCGCTTATCCACACAACGTGGTGCCGACGTGGCTGGAGAGAAAGTGGGCCGTGGAGGTGATGCGACGCTGACATGGTTGAGGAGATAAGGTGGGCCGTGGAGGTGACGTAACGCTGATATAGCTGAGGAGATAAGGGGGGCTACGGAGGTGATGCAGCGCTGACGTGGCCGAGAAGATAAGGTGGCCATGTAAGGAACACGTGGCGTCAGAGGCCAGCTCAACCATAACCCGGACAGAAACAAACAACCACTTTTCTCTTAAAGTAAAAAGATTCTTATTAAGAGATAAGAGTTAAGGGAAAATGAAGAAGCCTTGTGTGTCTATGTCTGACCAGGTTCTATGTTCCTAGATTCTAATTACAAAGGCGGAGATCCTCTCTAAAACTAAAAACTTTGAGAACCATTTAGAGGAACCGTTGCTTCTCATTTTAATATAACATGCTATTAAGAAAGACATTCCAATGAAAGTGTTTTTCTTGATAACTGCCACAACACACTTGCTTGGGTCAACTCCTAGAATTGACAAACTTTTCAAGTCAAAAGATTCAATTAGATTGAAAAATCAAATGATCAGAGAAGGAACATACTTACACAAGAGCACAATCTGTAGTTTCCAACACAATGAACAAAATATAGGTTTTAACGAAAAGAATACCGTTTTACACTTGATAATGGTTTTACCAACTTAGTAATTTACAATTACTACCCTTCCACTAGCCAAGAATATGATGCAAAGGCCAGTAGTTGTCCTTTGCTTTGTTTTTGGTTGTTTTAGTGGGTGTTTGGCATCGATGCCATTTTCTAAGAAAATGGTGCCACATAGGTGCCAAATCAGAGAAAGCGGTGCTTCAAACAACGTAGCCCTCTTGTTTGGTATTGTTTTTCTAGAAAAAACATTGCTCCAGATCGCGTCTTGAAATTGGAAAAATGTGGTCTGGAGCAATGCCAAATTCAATGTTTTTTAAGAAACGACACGTTGCTACCAACAGTGTAATGATGTGGCATCATCCTGGACATTGGATAATATAGATCAATGTTGAAAATGTTACTGTCAGCATTGGTACCAAACAAAACCAGTGTTGTTTCCTAAAAAAACGCCTATGTGGCAGCACCGGTTTCAAACAAAAAATAAGATTTTACAACTCCACATGCCCAGCACCGTTTTTATGAGAAAACGATGTGATGTTCCCAGCATTAATGCCAAACACATACTTAGTTTTTTTTTTTTACTGTTTCTTTCCAAGAAAAGGATGTGCAAATTCCAAAGGTGAGTAATGTACGATGCCACTTTTCAAACAACCTAGGTTGCTTGAAAGTTAAAACCCACTGTTCTATCTTAGTGGGAGGGTTTTCTCTTAAATTCATGATGTATATTCTACAATTTGGCAACAAAGGGAAATGATTAATTAAATAAAAATATTAAATGGTTAATAAAGAGCACTATAAAGACTTTATGATGTAGGTCCCATTTTTAGATCAAATAGTTTCTTAATTTCAAATTAAATCTGATTTAACTTTTTAAATTAAATAAAAAACCAAAAGAAAATTTATTATATAAGCATAAGTTTTAAATCTCAAATGAAATAATAAATGGTGAAATGGTTCATATTAGTTGCCTCGTACTTAGTACAGGGGTTATGCCTAGTAGATATTAAAAAAGGAAACCTAGGAATTTTCTCATTTTTCTGAATTTTTTATTTTTTTATTCCATGTCATTTTGAAAAAACCAACGAG